TTTCCCCCAGGAATCGGTGTCGGCCCCTCAGCTTCCTGAGCTGCCCGCAGTTCTGCCATTTAATGGCTTAGCCCTGTTAAAAGAAAAGGGCATTCTGTAAAATGAAACGGGAATAATTCTTTCCAAAGTGCCGATGTTCTAAAAAATGATGAATCCACCAAAATTTATATCTTTACAGAACATCTTCTTTAAGGATATTTTACTGGAAGAGTGCCTCGCTTTTTCAGGTCCTAGGTGTTACATATGCAGCATCTCTTGAGTTACAGATATTCCTGCAGCTTTTTTCTCACTTATAACTTTCACAGTTTGCTCTATGGAAGGTGTAAGATGGGTCAAAAAGGTTCTGGAGGAAAAAAAAAAAAAAGACTAAATTCTCTGAATGCAGGAGTGTAACAAAGACTGCGTTGACCAGGCTATGGATGTACTGAGCAATACCAGACAATAAGCACATATTTGATATTATTTCTGGAATTAAAATTCCATGTGAATTGCTTTTCCTTTCAACACCGAGGATTTGGAGTTGAGAACAGGTTCGTGTTCTTATGTCATACTTGAAATTCATGCTGTACGAATAACCGATTTAAAGTGCTAAACCCAAGGCAAATATTGCGGGGGGGGAGCGGGGAAGAGCCTTGAATTAATGCACAAGGTTTATATTTTAACTTGAATAAAACATCTTGTTTTTTCTGAAATGAGATGCTTAACTTAAACTCTGAGTGTTCCTTTTATGTTTAAATACATTCAGTGAGATTTTCAAAAGTCTTTAAAAACTGAAATAGATAAAAAAAAATTCATCTCTATATTAAAAAAAAATCAAATCAAGGAATTGAAATAGTTGTTAGAAGGTATAAAAATATTTTGAGGTACTGTCTTGGCTGAAAATTTTATTTTGATGTCTTGAAATGTTATTTTGGCATCAGGATAGGTGGGATATTTAGGGAAAGTGTGATTTGCAGCAAGAGGTTGAAGATTGTAAGTGTGATAGTTTTCTCATTTTTGCTGAAAAAGTATCGAGTTTCAGATCTCATCAGCAAGCTCTAATTGATGGTATTTTAAAAGTATAGATAACCTATAGTAGATGTTCTTATTGTAACAGACTCTAAGTGTAAAACAGTGGCAATCGCTTGAATAGTCTTCGCTTAGGTAAGGTTATAATTTAAAAAAAAAATACTAAATGGATAATGTCATGAACATTAACCACTTTCTCTGAGATGTAGACAGTTCCTATATATAGCCCAGTCTCTTTCTGTGTTAATTTATCCCCCTGAAAAATGAGTATAATTTTTAATGTAGGCCTGTGGCAACATAGTATGTGTTAACAGGCTTAAATGTTCTATGTGAATTAAACACGAGTAACTAAAAAGATGCAAATTTTAATTCTTTAAAAGCAGAAAAGTCAAATTCATCTTTATCAGTTCAGAACTTGGTCCTCAATGCAGATTGCCAGGAAAGCTTTTAGATCAGTATTACTGACATCCAGGAGCAACATTTTCTGTATGCA